AGAAGAAACAATATAAATGGTTTTTCCACATGGATTATTATTAGTCTATAAGAACCCTAAAAACTTACAGAGGGTTTTAAATAAATTAACAATATCATTAATAATAGTAGTAAAATTAGAAATCAGAAATTACAGTAATACTATTGTTACCACAGATAACATTATTTCAACTCTGTTCAAAGGTTCAAGAAGAAAAACGAACAGTTTTTATAGAAATAACCTGGAGATAATTTGTTATTATTTCCTTGACAAAATTCAAATCTGAGATACCAAAAATTATTTCACTTAGAACATTTTTGAGATACATCATCACTAAGCAGGTTTTGCCACTTTTATTATGTGCTTCCAGCAATGGCATTTTTTCAGTGTATGGAACATGCCAACACCTCCTGCAAAGGGAAGAGTGACCCGAACATGTGTCCTTTATCCACTTCCATGTATTATGTCTACGTTATAAGGAAAAAGGAGGAATGCTGCAAATAATGTCATTTCAAACATCAGAAAATGTGAAGAAGGGAAACTCTCTTTCTCAATAAAACTATCAGGAAGAATCTTCCATTTGTTCTAAGTTTCTAGTATTGAACTCTTCAGTTGAGGTCCACAGTCTTTCATGGTTTACTGGCAATTTCTAAATAGATGTTTTGCCATCACTAACTTAAAACTAAAAAACCAGAATTCCTGGTGTTGCCAAGGTTCTATTTCCAATGAAGCTTTTCCATATCTATTGGGAGCAAGACCAGCCAGGCTGATATGGGGGAAGTACGTGGCTCCATGTCACATAGCCTGTTCAATTCAGGACTTCATCCTGTTCCTTCTCCTGTAAAGTATTTCCAAGATGTATTTCCAAGTATTTCCAAGATCCCTTTCCTTTCACAACTATGGTTGAAGCTCCTGAGTAAGGGTTAACACATAAGTAGATGACTGCTCTAACCTCCTCGCTGTGGATGGATTCATTGTCTCTATTTTGACCCATCTTACATAAAATGAAATTACGAACTCTAACGAGGTGCTTCTCACAGACACAGAACACAAACTGTGGTTACCAAAGGGGAAAAGGGATGGCAGAGGGATAAATTAGGGTTTGGGGATTAGCAGATACCAACTACTATGTATAAAATAAACTAGGACCTACTATAGAGCACAGGTAACTATATTCAATATCCTGTAATAAACCATAATGGAAAACAAGATGAAAAAAATTACATATAAACAGATAAATACTGAATCACTTAACCAGACACTAACACAACGTTGGAACAACTACACTTCAATCAAAAAATAAATAAAAATAGAGTGGTGCTTCTTAAACTATCTGTGGTAGTGAACACAGTTTTTATTTCCTCCAACCTATAAGGGACTGAAACTTTGGTAAACTGAAACAAAATGAGTTTCTGAGAAAGTGATCACCAGCTTGGATGTCACAGTTAAGTCAAATTACTATGGAAATTTCTAAACAATGACTCTCAATTTCTGTGTCTATCACAGCCTTTTACCAGTTTGCTCATCTGATTCAGTCTTCTGACCACACTGAGCAGCACCAATGAGCCACCTTCTATTAAATCACCATGATTTTCTAGGCTTGCCATTTATATACTTCTAGTCCAAGCACCAAAAGTAAATACAAACTTAAATTAATTGTTCAAATGAGCAGTATCTAGGAAAGACTTGAAAAGCTATTTTCTTTCCCATTAAATAATTTCGGATCACAAAGGCCTTTATAATTATATAGGTGTTAGGAGAAGGGGGCAACCAAGGATGAGATTGTTGGATGACATCACTAACTCAATGGACATGAGTTCACACAAACTCAGGGAGACAGTGAAGGACAGGGAAGCCTGGCATGCTGCAGTCCATGGGGTCATGAAGAGTTGGACATGACTTAGGAACTGAACAACAACAACAAAGATACTAAAAGACCGAAGATAAAATATTCAAAGATCTTTTGGCAAAGAGGTAACAGTACCATGATCAAAGTATTAGAGGGCAGGAGAATACCTAAAAATATTGTGGCCACAAAGTCACATGGAAAAGCAGAGAAATAACAAACAAACAAAAAACCCATCCAAGCTTCTTTTAAACATTTTTAAGAATGTTCTGCAAAGGGGACACACAAACTGTACCCAAGATCTCATCACCAAGATGGCCAAATCCATAACTGCAGGCAATATAGTAATAAATATTAAATAGTTAAGTTCTCCTGTGAACTCTCCCTTTATAGCTAGTAAGCTTTTTAAAAGTCATCAAACTGTTTACTTGGTTTTATATAAACAAAATATCCAGATGAATCCCTGAAATTTCAACCGTATTGACTGATATCATCACATTGCAGATACACAAAGAGACATCTCAGTGTGATGCTCACCCTCCAGCTGTGCCTGGGTACACCATTTGTTTTACGGACTAAAATTCAGAGCTAGCGGTACCCTCACTCCTGGGCTCAAAGAGTCATAATAATCCCCTTCCTTCTGGGTTCCAATGCTTGAGCCAGATTACTTTTCATACTGTTACTTCATATACTTTGCAACGCGATCACATCGCATTTTTCTTCAAAACTCTGGCAGATTGTTTGGGCTAGAGATAGATGGAGACAAGAGGCACCATCTGGTGCAAGATCTTTATTCCTTGTTAACACTACAGGAGTTCTGGTATTTTACATGGTTCATGTAGTAGCAAAGATTTTTTTTTTTTAATATAAAGACTGAGAAGGTATAAGATGATCAAAGGGACCTGGCACTATGTGATCACATCACTGCTTTCCTTGGTGTGGAGCTTTGTTGTTGTTGTTGTTGTTGTTATTGTTGTTGGTTTTTAATTTTTTTTTTATTCAGATAACCAGTGGCATATGGTTTCACGATTCACAAAGATGGTCCTTGACTATAGATTTGACGATCTCAACATAACTTCCGGGCTTGCCAGAGCTATGTTACAGCAGAGAGAGCAAATAGCTCATGATATTTCTCCTCTGATGAGTAAGCTCCAAAATCGCAGGTTTAAATTTGATCGGGTTTTGAAAGAAAAGGAGCTTTGTCCTCCCATGCCAGCATCCATGCTTTTTCGTTGTCAGAGATGAGTGTCTATTTCTGTATCATTGACCCATGGCTTCAGGGACCAAAAGCTCAAACAATGCCCAGGTGAATCCTGTTGACTCAGACTGAATACACACTTGCTCTTGGCCATAGCTTTCTATTCTTTGGCATTCCAAGCACTTCCTGAAATTTAGCTTATGTTCTAAAAATCTGGTGGCTGTTTAATAGAAAAAACGTTCCATCCATACACAATTAAAGTCAGTAGTTTCTAACAGAATTAGCTAAGCACTGGGAGCCAGCAGATTTGCCTCATGATGCTAAACTAACTCACAGCCACCTTGTGAGGATAAGTGAAAAAATGAAGTGGAACAGTGTGTTGAAAACAAACCAAAACACCTTTAAAAAAGGTGTGGTTTATACAAGTTAATTTTGACTGTAATTTAAGAATGAAGTTAAAGGAAGCCTTCACCTGTTGATCCCTGATTTCAGAAGGCTACTTGGAGTTACTGCTCTTGGTATGTGTTGCCAAAAATCCGAAGCATCTTTCCAATGAACAGATTAATTCCATCTTAATCTCCGTGAGCTGCTCTGCTATGACCCTGTACACACATGGTCCTCATTCCCCTGTCTCCTCTTAGCTATTTCTGATGTTTTTGTTAATCCCAAATTAAACCTTCACTTCTGTCTCATGCTTCCTCTGGATACGTTCTTACCTTAAGGCTCACCTTTTTACACAGTGTTCAGGCCCATGAATTAAGGTATTTTTTCTACTGAGTCCTTTGATCACTTGGCCTTGCCTTCCACCCCTCCCTCACTGAAAGCCTCCTTTATTGATATCATGAAATGGTGCTGATATCAGTGGATATGACTTGAAACAAAGAAGGAAAAGAAGAAATAGCAGAATATGTCTAATAGAAAGAAGGTGCTACGTTGAAGGAAGCAGATGTCAATATGACAGCAGATGGCATAGATAAACTCGGTACTAATACGGTCAGCTTGTTGCATTTGCCACATGGTTGCAACTGCAAACTCCTTACGTACAAAACTCAGAAGTATAGCAAGTTTTATAGGTGGTTATTCACTGATGCTCTGAGATCAAGAGCGATGCCACAATCAATTCTTTCTATATTTGTCCAAGAGGCAGAGTACCTCACAATGTGTAGGTCATTCTTCTTAAAAGCTAATGATTTGTGAGGAGTCTTATTTTTGTGTTAACTGTAAACAGTCTCCTTCAAAGTTCAAAGGAGACATATCTATATACTCCTCACACCCCTCAGATTCAGTTTTGTAATAGGACGTAGGTTTTTCTTAGGCAGATAACCACCCCCCACCCAAAGAAAAACTGAGTGGATTATCACTCTATCTTGATAATTAGGTAAAAGCAAGGTCCCTGTGGCAGTCTATTCCTTGTCCACTCTGTGTGTGGTAGGTGAAACAAGGTGGAGTCTGGGCAGTGATCAGCATCACTGTGCTTTAACTTGCAATAACTTTTGAAATCCAGGCTTGGGACAGAAATCTGAAAGTGTGGACAAATTCAGGTTCCAAGTTGCTGTCAATAAGTAGATCACCCCCAAATCTCCAATGGTTCGAAATGAAGTGAAGTGAAGTCGCTCAGTCGACCCCATGGACGGTAGCCTACCAGGCTCCTCCATCCATGGGATTTTCTAGGCAAGAGTACTGGAGTGGGTTGCCATTTCCTTCCCTAGGGGATCTTCCCAACCCAGGGATCAAAGCCGGGTCTCCTGCATTGTAGGCAGATGCTTTTAACCATCTGAGACACCAGGGAATTAATGGTTCAAAAGTGAATATAAAATAAAGACCACACTTATCAAATTGACATTTAGAGCTCTCTGCAATCTGATAGCAACCTATTGCTTCAAAAAAGAATTTTTTTTTTTTTAACTTTCCAAATACTGTTTACTTCATTGAACCTGGGGACGGGCAGAAGGTATATGAAAGTCTGGGATGCCAAGCCTAGGTGTGCATGTTGACATACAGGGCCGAGCTGCTGAGGGCCAGAAGCCCGGTCACCAGCACTCGAGCCAGCAGTGCCGTCCAGCTGCCCAGGGAACAGAGGTGGACGAAGGTCTCCATGGCAAAGGCCTTATAGACGCTAAGGAACATCAGGAGGAGGACTGCTGGTCAGTTAGTGTGGTGCAGGTCATAGCATGTTATCATCCACACCTGGGCAGAGGCGACGATGTGATGGACCAGACTGATGTTGGAGTCAATGCTCATCTGGATGTATTTCCAGTCAAACCAATGCCCCCAAGCTCCAATCCAGAGGGGGATGCCACGGGACATAATAAGTTCGGTGGTGGCCCAGCCCAGGGAAGCAACCATGATCTTGTATTCCCCCTTGCCGGCATTCCGGGACATGACAAGGTTTAGGCCTATCAGGTCTTCCACGTCCACGCTGGCCTTCATGAACTCCCCAATGAAGTCACATACGCCGCCTTCCCAGGTGGGAAAGTGACCAAGAACAGCATCGTGCACAGCTGCACGAACAGGTAAGCGACCCCGGCCTGGACGCACTTCCAGAAAGCACTGGACTCAGACAGGCCGCTGCACTTGTAGGTGGTGAAGTAGCGGAAGTAGGCCAGAGCGAAGCGGTTCCGGAAGTGGAAGAGCGCCATGATGCCGGCCACCTGTCCCGCCTCTGCAGCCTGGCGCCTGAGCCCAGGCCTGGCGCCTGCCTGCCTCCGCCACAGCCCGCTCCGTCTTCTGGGAGCCTGGGTCCCGTTCCAACATTTTAAACTGTTGTTTTCATTCAGTTTCCTATAGAAAAATCTATTTACTGTTAACTTCAAAACATTATATGGCCTCCAGGGGCTAGAATTCTGTTTACATGTATCCCTTTTTGAGACCACCACCTCTTTACTTCTCATTTTATCTGAACCATGTCTTCCCTTTATATCCCTCCTAAAGGCTCACACTGGGTTCTCTTCCCATTTGTTCTGGACCATGATGATCCCTTCTCTCTTCTGATCAGTCAGAGAACTGATCTCCCACACGTCTCATTAGGCTATCTTTGCTTGCTACTTAACATTTTGTCATATGTCCCATCCTCTCCACCAAATTCTGCTAGGCCGGGGTGCTGTGAACAAGTCCCAGAGTGTAAGTTCCTTGTAGGCAATCACCCATTTCTATGTGCAGCCTTCATAGAGCTTTAAAAAGGCACTCATGATATTTGTCAATGGATCATTTGATTGAATTTCTGCATTTTAAATATGAGAGTATAGTCAATGTTAAGTGTTTGACTCCAAATTTCTCCAATTCTGGAGACTTTAGCCAAGTTGAGACTGGATTTACAAAAGCATATTGCTAGGCATTAATGTAAGCCTGAGATAACACCCTAACATCAAAGATAGAAAAAAAAAAACAGATTAAAAACCAAAGAAATAATGTAGAGATAAAATTTTAAATTTCCTTTAAACATCTGCAGTAATGTGCTCTGGTTTTTAAGATATCTTTTCAATATAACTAATAGCATGACCATCAACACAGTACTACAGGAGAAATTAAAAAAAAAAAAAAAGACAAAAAAACAGAGCTCTGTAGAATTGATCCCAACAGGTATTAACAGCAAAAATAAAACATACAAACTTGACTGTGTTAAAAATACTGAAACAAATCTAGTCTTGTACACTCTCAGTTAAGCTCTGAAAGCAGCTCTCTTCTGAATAAGCTAGGACAATGGAGCATTCTAAAAAGAATTTGGGAAATGAAATTAGGAAAGGTAACAGTGTCTAGAAAAACAAATGTAGTGACAAAGACAAATTTTACACCAGCTTCAATGGGATTGTATCTATATAGGGCTACTGCACAGACTTTATGCCAAAGTAACCATTCCATTCAGCCAAACAATTGGAAATTCAAACAATGAAATGGACTGACTTCACTCAGTTAATTGGCCAGTCAACTGAACTGACTGAATATGCAGGCATTAAAAAACATTGCTCCTTAACTAAAGTGACCTTAAAAATTCAAATAGTATACAGCTGTAAAAAGCATTTTCTAAGCTGAAAGTAACATACAAAATGTGGTGCCATGAACCATCAGCTGTCCACCAGAGACATGCTCCTCTTCATAGTGCAGAGATATTACTGGAAAGTGACTGTATGCCAGAAATTCCATTTCCTAGCCCCCTTGCATTTAGGTGAGGCCATCTGATTAGTTCTCACTTAAAAAGAAAACAAAAACAAAACACCAGCCTAAGTGGTACTGGTCACTGGAGGATGATTTCCTCAAACCCATTTGTGCCTTCACTATGATCCTTTTCCCCCTATCTGCCCAGACTCTTCTATGCCTGCTTTCACCATTGCTACATTTTGGTCCTTGTGGTTGGAAGAAATTTTTCCATAATCTAAGAGTATTAGTGGGGCTTCTGCTCAGCCTCTACAACAAAAAATTGCCATAGATTGGGACGGTTAAACCAGGGGTCCCCAAACTCCAGGTGGTAGACCAGTACCTCCTGTCAGATCAGTGGCAGTTTTAGATTAGAAACAAAGCATGCACAATATATGTAATGCACTTGAATCATGCTGAAACCAACCCCCTGGCCCCTGGTCCATGGAAAAATTGTCTTCCATGAAATTGGTCCCTGGTATCAAAAAGGTTGGGGACTGCTGGAAAAAACAGACATGTTTTAATCACAGTTCTGGAGGTCAGGAAGTCCAGGATCAAGGTGCTCACAGATTTAGCTCTTGGTAAAGAGCTAAATCCTGGATCTTGCAGTTTCCCCATATGGTGGAGAAAGGAAACTCTAATGTGTCTTCCTTCTGCTAGAAGGGCTTCCTGGTGGCTCAGATGGTAAAGAATCTGCCTGCAATGCAGGAGACCCAGGTTCCATTCCTGGTTTGAGAAGATCCTCTGGAGAAGGAAATGGCAACCCATTCCAGTATTCTTTCCTGAAGAATTCCATGGACAGAGGAGCCTGGCAGGCTATAGTCCATGGGGACACAAAGCATGAGACATGACTGATTGACTAACACTTTAACTTTTCAAGGGCACTAATCCTATCACAGGGGCGCCACCCTCATGACCAAATCTCAACCAAATCACCTCCCAAAACCTCTAACAATACCTCCAACTACCATTGTGTTGCAGGTTAGGACTTCAACATATGAATTTGGGGGGAGGAAGCACAAATATTCAGTCCTTAAGATTTCTATACCTAAATCTGATATTTATTCATTTGTAGTTACCTATTCAAAGCTTGAACAGAGGCTTAGAAAAGAGCCCAATTATTTGAGGAAAACTAGGATCACTGTCCGTGCAATATAATTCAGTGTTCAGTTCAGTTCAGTTCAGTCACTCAGTCATGTCTGACTCTGTGACCCCATGAATTGCAGCACATCAGGCCTCCATATCCATCACCAACTCCCAGAGTCCACCCAAACCCATGTCCATTGAGTCAGTGATGCCATCCAGCCATCTCATCCTCTGTCATCCCCTTCTCCTCCTGCCCCCAATCCATCCCAGCATCAGGGGCTTTTCCAGTGAGTCAACTCTTCACATGAGGTGGCCAAAGTACTGGAGTTTCAGCTTCAGCATTAGTCCTTCCAATGAACACCCAGGAATGATCTCCTTTAGGATGGACTGGTTGGATATCCTTGCAGTCCAAGGGACTCTCAAGAGTCTTCTCCAACACCACAGTTCAAAAGCATCAATTCTTTGGAACTCAGCTTTCTTCACAGCCCAACTCTCACATCCATACATGACGACTGGAAAAACCATAGCCTTGACCAGACCAACCTTTGTTAGCAAAGTGATGTCTCTGCTTTTTTAATATGCTATCTAGGTTGGTCATAACTTTCCTTCCAAGGAGTAAGCATCTTTTAATTTCATGGCTGCAATCACCATCTGCAGTGATTTTGGAGCCCAAAAAATTAAAGTCTGACACTGTTTCCACTGTCTCCCCATCTATTTCCCATGAAGTGATGGGACCAGATGCCATGATCTTAGTTTTCTGAATGTTGAGCTTTAAGCCAACTTTTTCACTCTCCTCTTTCACTTTCATCAAGAGGCTTTTTAGTTCCTCTTCACTTTCTGCCATAAGGGTGGTGTCATCTGCATATCTGAGGTTACTGATATTTCTCCCGGCAATCTTAATTCCAGCTTGTGTTTCTTCCAGCCCAACATTTCTCATGATGTACTCTGAATAGAAGTTAAATAAGCAGGGTGACAATATACAGCCTTGCTGTACTCCTTTTCCTATTGGGAACCAGTCTGTTGTTCCATGTCCAGTTCTAACTGTTGCTTCCTGATCTGCATACAGGTTTCTCAAGAGGCAGGTCAGGTAGTCTGGTATTCCCATCTCTTTCAGAATTTTCCACAGTTTATTGTGATCCACACAGTCGAAGGCTTTGGCATAGTCAATAAAGCAGAAATAGATGTTTTTCTGGAACTCTCTTGCTTTTTCGATGATCCAGCAGATTTTGGCAATTAGATCTCTGGTTCCTCTGCCTTTTCTAAGACCAGCTTGAACATCTGGAAGTTCACAGTTCACATATTGCTGAAGCCTGGCTTGGAGAATTTTGAGCATTGCTTTACTAGTGTGTGAGATGAGTGCAATTGTGCGGTAGTTTGAGCACTCTTTGGGATTGCCTTTCTTAGGGATTGGAATGAAAACTGACCTTTTCCAGTCCTGTGGCCACTGCTGAGTTTTCCAAATTTGCTGGCATATTGAGTGCAGCACTTTCACAGCATCATCTTTCAGGATTTGAAATAGCTAAACGGGAATTCCATCACATTCACTAGCTTTGTTCATAGTGATGCTTTCTAAGGTCCACTTGACTTCACATTCCAGGATGTCTGGCTCTAAGTGAGTGATCACACCATCGTGATTATCTGGGTTGTGAAGATCTTTTTTGTACAGTATTAGTTTGTAATAAAAATAATGATGGTGGTGATGATAACATAAAATGAACAGTCTTTGTTTTTTAAAAAAGATTCTTTACAGCAATTTGTTAAAATAAATATCATGTTCTAAAGGCTAAGGTCTTTCAAAAGGAAAAACGATTTCTTTCAATTAAAACTGAACTAGCCAGAGCTTAAGAAATTCCTCTATAATTATGTTTAAGCCTGTTGCAATTTATTCCCCCCAAGATATACATTGGTAAGGTCCCTGGGGCATTTCTATAGCCTAGTGTTAAGGTTAACTGATTCACACAACAGTCCATCGAAGTCAGCCCCCTGCAGAGCCCTTACTCAGTGCAAAGAACTACCTTGTCTTCCTAACCATCTAATTTAGAATGTACTTAGGTGATTCCTTATCTGCACTGCAATCTTGTGGAGCCAGCAACATTACCCAGAAGCTGGACCAGAAAAAATAGAAAGTC